CGAAGCTGATTTCAAATAAAATAAGCTCACTTTCTCTTTGGATTGCAAAGGCTAACACAAGTCCTAGATTAGGCCAATGCACTAGTTTATATTGGAATTCGAGCATATATACTTGAATTTGCTGGTTAAGCAGTTGTTTGGTTCCCTGGCTGTTCTCCTAACACAAAAGGATACGCACTGAATCGTCGGCGTCACCCTCAAATTTTGGTAAGTACGATACATCTGACATTCAAAAACATCTAACAACGGGGCAAACGGCTCACTTTCTCAAGACCAGTAAATTTTTGCTTATACTGGCCCACGAAATTTTCAAGTGTAGTACAGGATCTGAGGGATTTTGGAATAAAATAAAACAACATGAGAAAGAAAAATCAATAAGTTTATGATCACAGATAGCAACAGATCTAGCATTATGAAGAAAAATATCTGAAACTTTAAAGAAAAGGGCAGTACTTGACGCGACGACGGAACTGATAAGTCGATAATCCCGGCGTCCTTTTATAGCACTGTGTCACGACTTGACCTACGTCCCTGACGTAGATCAAGTCGTGACACAATGCGTCGTCGACTGGTGCGACCCCTGCACAAAAATCCCACAGATCAGATAAAACAGTGAAAATCTCAGCTTTTACGATATGTCTTGTCATCCATTACGCTCACTTACGTCTCAAGGTATGAGAAATCTTCATAAAAACTATGAACAAAGAAGAATACACATCTCTAGAGCAAAGAAGTATAACGCATTCTCTTCGGGCTCCACTCTCGCTCGCCAGCGGATGTGCACATGATATGGGCCTAAGGCGGTGAGGGAAGAGGAGTCTTCAATAATGACAGCAGCATAAGAGGGGACGTTGCTTACCTTGGCACAGGAATGTTAATGCACACGGGCCTAAGTGATTATTCAATCTCGCTTACAGACGTATACCAAAGCAAGAAATTCGCTCTAAAAGATGGATGCGGGGTCGCCACGCCCGTATGTATGTAGGCTGTAAACCCAGCACTTACTAGTACGAGCAACGTCGAAAATCGCATTTCCGAGAAATTTCCGAAATTTTCAATTACTTTGGAGCCCAGTTTCAACATTACTTCAGCTATATCAATCAACGTGGCAACCCCAACTGCATCCACCTTTAGAAATGACTATGGCTTGGAAACACACCTTCTGCAGCGGCACTGGGCTTTAGGTTATGTAGAATTTCGCTATGTTGCATTAAAACTTTATCAATCTCAAATTTGTGGAGCAGGGGGGGGGACTTCCAAGGGTTATCCATGCTGTTCGGCAGTGATTATCAGCGCGAGATGTCGCAGCTAACTTTAGAAAACTTTCTTTATTCTTTGCAAACTTGACATCTTCCTGCGCCTTTTTCGGCGAGTTCACGAAATTTCGCCACACCCCACTTACTTCCTCAACATCGGCAAACGAAAATGAGTGATGGCGCCATTTGTTTCGATGCAGAGTAGACAAAGCGCATGCAACAGACAAGTATAGGGTAAAGTTAGGGATTGGCAAGAGTTTGCCAGTGTTACCGGCGTTGATGTTGCCGGTGTTGAAAGTTTCACTAGTCTTGCAGTCTCATTCTTCCTCAACTCATCCTGCAGGTTAGCGAGATCGAGCTTGAGGAAGAAATGGATGGGAGAAGACTTAAAGGCACCGTCCACCCAAAATTGGGTCGATGAGATTTTGATGCCTAACAGTAGTGGGGCCCCCAAACTGTATACTTATCCAACTCACACTGGCAAAAATTGCTTCCAAAGCGAGAAAATTGCTTCGAAAATCGCTCGGATGACAGATTAGCCACGTTGGCTCCTCCCCTATGAGTGGGCGTGACGTTCGTCTTGCCCATCCGTACGCGCCCAACCAATCATCGTGCCGAACAAATCGCTCTGCGGGTTCTGAAAACGGGGAATTTTTGTGACTTTCGCAATTTCCGTCTTGATATTCGGAATCACGGCTATGAGAAGGCCCTGGAACGGCAAAAACATGGAGCTCGAAATTTTGGGGACGATGCCTCTAAGTGCCGGTCATCCGTCACGCGATTTCATCGCCCCACGATTCTCCCAACAAAACAACTGCTACAAGTCCATTGCATGCCGATCAACTTGCATTTCGGTTGTGGTAGTCGGTTGCCGACTCGACCAATGGCGAATAACTATCACAACCGAAATGTATGATGATCGGCATGCAATGAACTTGCAGCAGTTGTCTTGTTGGGAGAATCGCGAAGCGATGAAATGATGAGATCACGTGATGTATGCCCGGCCCTTAAATCCCACTCTTTTCTTCCTTCCGTCTCACCAACCTGCAGGGTGGATTGAGGAAAAATAAGACTGCAAGAGACTATAAATCATGTTCAACATTTCCAGCACTTCTTTAAACACGGGCAGCACGGGCAAATTCTGACTGATTCCTTATGGCTACTCAGACACTGGGAGCAGGCCAGTCGCGGCCCTTTACCGGCTGGAATTTCGCAGCTCCGGCGGCCCGGCCAGGGATTGGGTCTCGGCTCAGCCGCAGCTGGTTGCCGGGCCTTCCGTAGTTCATTCTAGCTCGGCCGAGCCCTGGCCCACCATTTATAGGGCTCCCCTGTGTCACTAAATCATATGATATTTGATTGCCGAAGCCGGACACCGATACACGGTAGAACTGTCTTCTATTCACTGGCACATGGGAAAGTTAAGCTTGTTTACAAGACAACATATTGATCTTGTTTCTGCCTGGACTGGAAAAACATCCACGGCATTGGACAACGAGGGCAGCCTGACCATGCGTCGACAGTATCCTTTACACTAAGACTAGGAGCGGCCTTCATTTGGCATAGGCCGCGGCTTGACCGGAGTTTCCTACAGCGATTTTGGTCTGCGGCTCAGCCGTTGCAGTGCTCCGCCCCATCATTAAGGGCCGCGGCTAAGAGATCGGTCAGAGTTTGCCAGTGTTGCCGGTGTTACAAGTGTTGAAAGTGTTGAAAGTGTTGCCAGTGTTAAAAGTGTTGAAAGCGTTGCCGGTGTTGAAAGCATTGGATGTGAAATCATAAGTCTTGCAGTTTCATTCCTTCTCGAGCGATCTCATCGGCTGGTGAGTACTTTGAAATGGAAACGGGAATTAAGAAATGAAAGTAAATAAAATGGGAAGTGCTTTCGCATGCAAAAGATTCTAATACAAAATTTATGGAAATTAGGGGACTTGTTTTGAATAGGCAATCTCCAACATTTGAGAAGGCTGCTAAAGTCTGATGAGAATGCGTGTTAGTGTCGAATCCAGCGCTTCTGCGTGAGCAAAAGAAACATGGGAGGTCTTGCAGCGTTCTCAAATGTTGGAGGTTGCCTCTTTCAAAAAAGTCCTTCACTTTCCAAAAAGTTCGTATGAGCAACTTTTTTGCGAAAACATCTCCTATTTCATTTCAGTCTCATTTCCCATTTCCATTCCAGACGTACTCACCAGCCGGTGAGATCGTTCGAAAAGGAATGAAACTGCAAGACTTATGATTTCCACATCCAACGCTTTCAACACCGGCAACGCTTTCAACACTTTCAACACCGAGAACACTTTCAACACTTTCAACACCGGCAACACTTTCAACACGGGCAACGCTTTCAACACTTTCAACACTTTCAACATCGGTAACACTTTCAACACAGGCAACACTGGCAAACTCTGACCGATCCCTAAGCAGTGAGCCCATTTCCTCCCGTGGTTCGGCCGGTGCAATGATAATGACATGAACGAAGGGCCGCGGGTTGCGTGCACCCTGGCCATGTCCCCAGATTAAGGCAGCGAGCGGACCGGAAAAGCTTTTTGGGGCCGCGGCTCGTAAGCTCCCAGTTTCTGAGTAGGTGCTTTTCGAAATTCATCATTTTGAAGCTGTACTTTGTTCCGTCCTTCGAATCATCTTCATCACGAAACAGAGAGATTGAGTAAGGAAACGCGTGAATAAGAAAATTATGTGTTGCAAAACTTCGTCATCACTGACAACTCAACTCTTAACCAAGTCAATCACGCAGCGGCACATATCAAAGACAAAAGGCGACTTCAGTGTAGCATGGTGTCGCTCAGATGCGGTGATCCTAGTGTCGGCTACAATTCCTCATTGACATGCTACATTTTGATATATGAGTGGGGAGGGACTCCGACCAGGGCTCAGCACAGCTGGCACCGGGTCAAGCTGGATATCGTTTTTAGGGCGGAAAGCAAAGGGGATATCGTTTCTACAGGGGCCGAGGCGGAGAACTACCGCAAAAATGCCGCCGGCATGCCACCGGCATGCCATTGGCAAGCTGTCCATCAACAAACAAAGGCGTTGTTTTCAGCCAAAACGCAATAGTATGACACCAAATTTGGTGTGTGCATGCGCGTTGGCGGACCGGAACTACGGGCCAAAAATTTATGAAAACTTATGTGAATGAAAGCTGTGCCTAACTTTTTCTGAATTAGCTGGCACCGTGCCAGCTGGGTGCCAGCTGAGCTGGCACCGACACTTTGCTCACATAAGTTTTCATACTTTTTTACATAAAATGTATCTACACTGTAAAAGATTACATACGGAGAAGAAACAGTTTCATAATGTTCTCTTTTCAGCGTTTTATAGCAATTTGAAAACCACTCGGCCCGCTCCGCAGTCGAAAAATCGGCTTTTTCTGCTTCTCAAGATGTGATTCGACCACTTAGAAAGCTCAGAAAGCTGTGAAAAGTTCTTTCATGAAATCAGAAATGCATGAAAACACTACTACATTTTTTGACATAATATAAAAATGATGACGGGTTTTCAAAACAGGTCAAAAGGGAATTCGTAGGAAATTTTCAATATCAAACGGGACTTCGTTTTGAAATTTCCCTGGTGCCAGCTCGTGCCGAGCCCTGACTCCGACAAACAAGAATCCCTTGATAAAAAGTTGGAACAACTTTTGCGCTACTCACTATGTTGACAATTGCTCTTCCATCTGTTGACAACATCTCATCTTATTATTCGAATCGGATGAACTCAAGGAAAAAAGCGCGCACTCACCCTAACAGCGCCATTAACCAGTGTTAGTATACACACTAGACACAAGCTAGTGTGATAGTCAGTAAACGCAAATGAGTGAAAGAGTGACTACAAATGAACTAGACTGCACTCGGATGAGAACATCACTTCAGTTGATATCTCGGATTTCTAGTAAATAAACATGATCAAGGCAGGTTCTAGACTCCTCGAGGAGTAAAGCACGCCCGTCGTCAATATCAGCGATTTGCGCACGTCCGTCGCTACTACTAATGATCGCCAGCCGCCATTGTTGGCGGCTGGCGATTTTGCTGGCTGCACTTTCGATAGCTACCGATTGCTGGCATGTAGTTACTTTTTTGTATTGGCAATCGCTAGTCGCTACTAGTGACGATCGCCAATCGCCAATGTGGGGTGGATGCAAGCATCTCATCTCCCATGGCCGTTTCGCCTGAACTCTGTCTCTTCTGCGAACATGCTCTCCGAGCACTATCCCACCGAGAGCGTGGTAAAGGCGGAGCCTCAATCGATTGGACATGATTAAGGAGCATGTTCGTGGAAGAAACGCAGAGTCCCGCGCGGGAGTGGAAAGGCTGATGCACCTGACAACATTGCAGTTTATAAGCCCTGTACAGTGGAGCCCACTTTTGGACTTGCTGTCTTCAGGTCATGACACCCATGTTGGTGAACAGTGCCGCCATGGCAGCTTCCACCTTCCGGAACGACCTTCTCGCTTCGAAATGCATTTTTTGCAGCGGACTGGGCGATTATTAGATCAAAATCTCAACAGTCTCAGTTTTGGGTGGACCTTTCTCTAATATGCATCGATTGACGTGTGCTAACTAGTTAGCGATCAATTTGCATGTAAACTGCAGCCGCCAGCATTAGCGACGGGAGTTGCGATTCGTACAGTGTTTTTCAACCCGGAGTAGGAGTAACAGTCCAAGTGGAGCTGCGCATCCGCACCCCCACTGGCTCAGCGAGAGAGATTAGAATGAAGAGACGCAGACTGCAAAGCGGCGCGAATCGTTGCGAGGCGGACTCCCGGACTCCCGCCAATCGAATTTCCGCCCAAATTGAGTTGAAACTTTTTATACCAACTGACAATAGCCGAGATCGGCGACAATGATTATCGATTTTACACTATATGACGCATATTGATCGAAGGGATGCTATACTCCACGAAAAGTATAGCGCCTGCATAAAAATATTCAACGCCAGTGACAGCGGTGATAGCAGTAACAGCAGTGACAGCGTAACAACAACGATGATTGCTATAATCATCTTCAAGAAAAAAATAAATCTGCTCCTAACGCTATAATCTTTCAACATCTTTGACAAATTATACTTTTCCTATGTCTGTGAAAGTATTAGGTTGCTGCAAAAATAATGTCCGTTTTGCAAATTTCCAATTCGAAAAGGTATAACTTTGTCCAGTCTTCATAATTTTTTTATGTTATCAAGACCATCAGAAACAATAAACTTTCCGTAATCTAGCGCGCGCCAGTTGATACCAGGGTTGAGCGTGGGGTCAGGCGCGCCCGATCTGGGGGTCGTTTCGGTAAGAGACTGAGGGGGGTCGTAATCAAGAATCGAATTAGCTTAAAACTAAGGAAATACTACGATCGAGTGAGGTGAAGAAAAAAAGCTTTGAACCGATGCATATCACAACTCCAATAGAATTGAAGGAATGACTGTCGTGACCAGCATATTGATTGACTCCATCGAAGTTTCAGCCAAATTACAATTCTTCCTTTACCTGACACTCTTAAGGTCACCAAAAAAGCTAGCTGCGTAAATTGAGTATAGTTTCCTTTAATTAGCATATCAAATTACCTCTACTAACACTAAAGACCATTACCTATCACATTTTCTAGCGTTTTCTATCGTCTCCTGAAATTCAAACAAGATTAATTTGGTTTCAAAAATAAAAGCAGTCAACTCTTTTATACTTATAAGAAAGTAATGTTCCCTATCAGTCTATACAGAAATTAGAATTCATATCGCTCTCAAATAGTGAATTAAGAAGTAGTGCCAATATTCCCCGCGTTTTTCACCTCGAGCGCGTCAACCCCGCGGATTACCACAAAGCCGAGGCAAGTCGAGATAAGCTCCAACACCTACTGTAGGATGCTGGAGGTTTGTGCTAGCGAACTATATAAAACTTGGATGAAAAAGAGTCTTCAAAGTTAATGGGGTCGGGCGGGGTGGAGGAACGAACACCTCAAATAGGCACCTCCTCCGCGGACTACTGGTCCCAACACGATGCACAACAGTAGGACGAAAGGACCAGCAGCCCGCGCAGGCAGTGCCTAACTGAGGTGTTCGTTGCTCTACCCGGTCGGGCGCAATCCCTCAGAAGGTCAGGCCGCCTGAGCTTTTGTAGCCTTACGCCTGACCCACTTGTCTTCAAAATTCCGAAGTCAGTCCATTCCTGGTATGAGTATTGAGCTCATGGCCTCTTCTTGCCTCAGTGAAAATTTGGAGCAAAACATTCCACCCTTGGGGAAATTCTGGCTTCAATAAGGCGATTCACATCAAAATCCGCCGTCAAATTGCATGTCGTAATGTGCAATCACAGAAAAGCGATCATACAGTCTCCTAAATCAAAAGCTCTGCAGGACAGACTCGTATCCTCCAGACTCTGAGGTTCCGGAGGTGGAGAGGATAAGAGGGGGTCGTTTGGGGGCTTTCCTGGAGGGGGGGGGGGGGGTCGTTTCCGAACGAATTGTGCCTGACTTTTTGCTCAACTCTGGTTAATACTGGTATCACGAAGGGAAGAACTATGCTGTAAAACACCGAAAGTTTTTCTTTCAGAAGCCTCATCTTTGAGAGAGTATTATATGATGAGCCAGGTGTATTCGAAGAAATTATTTGAAGTGCAACATATAAACAATATTCATCCCATACTATAGCTATTTTTAATAGAAATTCGTTCACATGCGCCTGAATCGTGGCCAAAAAGTGTTAAAGCAATGAATTCCTATTTTGAGTGCGGATGTGCAAAAAGTCGGTAAAATCCTCACAGATAGAATAAAAGCGTAAATCCACCACTGCTAGAAAGTACATGAAGAGGGCTTTCCAACGATATGCAGAATCTATATCAAAAAATAAAGCTAGATGGAAAAAAGTTGTTTGGAAGATAGGTTTAGGAAAACGGACATTATTTCTGCAGCAACACAGTATTTTGATAATTGTCATGGGACTGAAATGTAAGGCCTCGGACAGAGTTCACGCAATCTGATCGTCGCGATTCAATCGCCGCGATTTCCATTCATTCTCATTTTACATTCAAAAACTTCGGGCTGGAAAAGTATCACAGCCGAAATGCAAGCTGGTCGGCATGCAATGAACTCGTAACAGTTGTCTTATCGCGATTGAATCGCGACGATCAAACCGCGTGAACTCTGCCCGAAGCCTAAAACAGATAAGCAGCATTCCAATGCTAGCATTGCGTTTCCTTTAAGGCCCCGGACAGACTTCACGCGATTTGATCGTCGCGACTGAATCGCGACGAGACAACTGTTACAACATCATTCCATGCCGCTCAACTTGCATTTCGGTTGTGATATTTGTCCAGCCCGAAATTTTTGAATGTGAAATGAAAATGAATGGAAATGTCGGCGATTGAGTCGCGACGATCAAATCGCGTGAAGTCTGTCCGGGGCCTAAGACAGGCGTGCAGATAATACACAATTCTTTCAACCCATCATATTCAACCTGTCTTTATTACCTGCGAGATTTTATCTCAAACTTTTTAAGAAGCTTTGATAATCAGCAGATAAAAGAAACTTTTCAATGCAACGTATCGCATCTTCCAAGCTAACTGTTCAGAATTACAACTTTTTTCTGACTATCCTATCATATAACTATAGTTTCCCATTGATAGCTGATCTAGCACAACGGTTAGCAAATAACATGGACACGGCAATGCAGCTCTTTTTCTATTTCTCACGATAATTTCTTTGCAATATATTCATGACGCAGAGGAAAACACCCATGATTTCAATTCCACATGTTCTCACAGCGGAAAGTAAGGTACAGGGCTTCTCAATTGCAGAGTCTGGCACCAGCATTTCCGCATCCGCGCGGCCGCTTCGCATGGACCCTGCACCTCCTTTGCACATGTGCTCTCTTCTCACTTTCCCATCGCGAGCGTGCTAGCGGAGCTTCAATCGCTAATTAAGCCTGCGAAAATGATTAGAGAGCATGTTCACGAAAAAGACGAGCACGCGAGGCGGCCACGCGGGAAGCAGAGAAGCTGGTGCATTATATTATAAACCGAACTGAATAGATATTTGAGCATTTGAACAATTTCGAATAAAACTTATCGAAATTCGATTATTCGAAAATTTCAAAATCTCAAATATAAGGATGTTGTCTCAAAATTTTTTACCGTTTTTACCTAGACATCAGCATTTCTCGAGAACTAGGAAGGAGCTACAAAGGGTGCAAATACCTGATCGTACTTCTGTATGTATGAGTTATATGTTCATGTGTGTGTGTGTGTGAAGAGCTCAGAACTGCTAAGGGTGGGGTTTGACATCTTTCTCCATTCATTTTTTTTTTATTTCCAGCCATGGAAAAAATACGAAAAGTGTACAATTAGATATTCGATGTGTCAAGCATATGCTAGAATAAATGGGGAATTTTTAAGATATTTTGGGGCTGAGATAAGATTTTTTACGGTAAAGTTCGTTTTTGACTGCTATCATAATTCAGCTCAAAACTTCACGTAAGACACGAATCGGGCAGAATATTGATAGCCAACTTGTTGACTTGCTTTGCTCTGTCGAGTGGTTACCCAAGGCACATCACTTGAAGGAAAGATACAGAAATACGACGGTTGCGGCACAAACGGTAAGAAATAATGAGACAACCTAATACATTCGATATTCGCTTGTTCGAAATTTGACAGTTTCGAATTTATTTCGGTAATTCAAAATTTGTTTTCCAAATATATTCGAACATTCGATTATCTACTTTCGATAGTTACTCGATTACTCGATATCATGTGAACAAATAACTACATGACAGCGTCATATTTTTGATTGCTACATTAGCAAATATAGTTTGTTGTTCAAGTTGCCACTACTGGAGTCCTTCAGTGTGCTAACTCGATAAAATCTCAATATACGACTTAGTCGATGCAGAGTATTCGTTTTTTCACATTTTCTCTCGAATATATGAGATCATTCAAGATTTTTTCAAAAGTTCAGTATTCCAATATTCGACTTTTTATTTCAATATTCGCGTTCAATTAATCGATTTATTTTTGAACAAATTTGATTATTCGATTATTGGCGCTAGTCGCTCAAAGTGGTCTGCCAGTTGATTGTAAATGTAGAATGATGATGAGTTTTGAAACGTTCAGATTCCATACATTCGATGATTATGAATCACGCAAATTCTACTCATGACTTTTGAGAATCCGCAAAACTCTGGAAGGCCAGTTGAAAGGATGCGAGAAAGTACTGCAGTGTAAAATATTCCACCCACTGGTTAGCAGAGCTCCTTTACAAAATCTAAAATAAATAGTCGAATTCAGCTAAAGCAAAACAAGTAAAGACGAGACTTGAAAACTTTCAGAATCACCTGAGCTCTCTATTACATTGGAAATAAAACTGTGTGAAGAAGAATATTGCTGCGTCGAACACTTCAAAGTGCGAATATACCAAAACCCAATGCAGAAGTGATGAGAAACAACTTCTCATGTGCTGTTCTAGTTTCAGTAAAAGAACACAAAGGTCCATCAAATTCTTCTTTTCAAGGCATCCGATCAGCGTACCTGAGATGACAACCAGCAGACAGATTTCACTCTGATAGTGCTGCCATTGTGCAGTTTTTAGGCATTGTCGGCATTCACTCTCAGGCAATTCTACGTTCTAACTCTTCGTCTTGCTGTTTAGTCAAAACCATCAATCTGTCCTCACTTAGTAAGATTCAGTAAAGTGAGCTCTGATATGATAGAACAATAAGTCGAAAATGTTCAGCATTTGCCTCCTTTATTAGTACAGGTTTACGCCAGTGACGTACCCAGGTGGGGGGGGGGGGGGGGGAAGAGACGAAAACTTTTTTCTGACGAAGGTGCATTGGGTTAGCCACGCCCTCAGAAAAATTTTTGGTATGTTCTCAAAATTTCACTCATAACCCGGAATTTTTAAAAAAAAGGGCGTGGCTGATACCATTCTCTCGAAAAAAATTTTCTATGGGGTTAAATTGAATTTTTAAAGAAATTCAAAAATCGCATCAATTATACAAGTATAAACAAGTTATTTGCATATATTTATAGCTCATGTAAGTAACTTTCAAAAATTTCACTCCATTCTCGCGGGGGGAAGGGGGAAGGCTCCCCTCCCCTCGGTAGCCACTCGTTTACGCAATGAGGAGTCGTCTTAATGCAACTTCACTACATCACATGAACTTATACATAGAGCATTCGAAATCGTAACGATGGCGGAATTGCGCGCGGCACGAACAGATCTCCAGGATTTTCTTGGTTTTCGTCTCTACTCGAATGGTTTTTCTGCCTACCTACTCAGACAATTCACCAGAAATTTCGCAGGACAAGCAAAATTTGCGGCGTTTTCACAGGATTCTATTCATATTACAAAAATTGAAACGTTAAAATGAGAACTTCTGCAAGATCTTCACGTAAAAGTGGTTGAAAACGGGGAATTCCGCAGGACTTTTTTTAGAACGCTGCGAAAATTCCGAAAAATGCCAGCAATTCCGCACCAGTTCGATCCGCCAGTACTTCCGCAGGTTTTTGAATGTGTTGTCCCTTACGATGTTGTCTCGCCAACAACTGGAATGCATTGTCGAACACGTCACTCCTTGTGCGGAGGATAGCGAGTGCCTCTCGTAGTCAACAGAGCAAGTCCAAATCTAGCTTAGGTGTTCTCTTTTGTTGAGTTCGCATTCTTCGGAACTTCCACAGCACGTTTAGTGAACTTCCGCGGGTAATCCGACGAAACTTTCCCAAACATTCTGCGGAACTTCCGCTCAGTTGTCAGAGCATGAGGTACTCAAACAGTGAAAGTAACTGCGTGTGCGTTGAGGTGATGCCTTAGTGTAGGAGTGTTTTGTGCTCCTGTGGGCGCAAAGGGCAGTCAAAATCCGTCGCCACGATCTTATAAATGACCTATACTTGAATAGATGCAGATTGGAGGCTATGGAATACCTATACACAGAATCTCTCGTAGATCGACCAAGAGCATTATTTAGAATGCTAGACTTTCATTCTGCTGCATAAATTGATCCGTTACTATTATCGTTTGACATTTACTGAGGAGAATAAAGCCTCCGAAACTTTTTTCTGCACCACGCCTCAACGTCGATCTACTTATAATTTTACACAGTTCAATCAAAAAGGTGCAAGGTGTGAGAGCATTATTTCATCGTTGTATTTTATTTTATTATTGCAAAAGCATCTTCTGCTGGCAAACGAGTTGGCATGATTACCATCTCCATAGATTACAATAACCTAACTTGATCTTCCCGCCCACATATGAGTTATCCATTCACTACACCTTTATGGCAAATCACTTGGAGTCACTGCTCTCCCTGGCATACTGGTTTGTGATGTCAGACAGTATATCCACCATCTAATATTACTTGCTGTTAGAATCAAAGTCATTTTGCTAACAAAAGGGGGTATACAATCTCCATAATCACATTATTCAATTTTGATAATTATTTATAGAGCAGTCAAATACAAGATTTCATCATACTTTTATCCAGATTGGACCCAAACTACATGAAGCACTATCACTGCTGTTAGAGTATAAATGTATTTTTTGTTCCCTTGTAACACGCCAAGAACGTATTGAGTAGATAAATAAGTAAATAAATTACTATGGATCAGCGGCAATGTCTTCACTTTGATACAAGTGGTCAGATCCGCCAGTACTGGCCTCCCCTTCTAGAGCAACTGATCATTCGATCCAACTAACATTAACACCTTTTACAATGATTGGCTTATTGCTGGCTGTATACAAGCGTAAAATAAACAGAGATGTATTTCAGCGAGCACAGCATATATGAATCATCACAGACATTGGCATCAGTATCATCAAGCTTTGGAAAACTTGAAGCAAGTGCAACGACTAGAAAAGAGAAGAGGTACCGGAGGACAGAGTAGACTGGCTAGAAATGCAGTAAGCGCCCGGCCAAACAAAAGCTATGCAATACAGTAGTACAAACAGACCGGTACGAAGTTTAGCTTCACCAGGAAAGCTCCATCTATTAAAGAGCTTGGAATCACAGAAATCGGTGCCTATAAGTGAGACACTGAAAGACTCAATGGTCGCGATTTGAACCAGCAAATCGGGAATCGCATTAATGTAGTACCCTTATTCATGTTATTACAACCGTGAGAGATGTGAGATGCAGATTATATAGATTTTAAGAAATCTTCTTCTTCGCCTGCTTCACGTGGGCAACGAATTCCCTAAAGATACAAAATGAAAACATAATTAAAAACCGCTAGCGTTTGTCTAATCATGGCGAACAATGCTAACAAGAATCTAGTGCAAGACAGAAGCATCGAGACTGTAAAGTTAAAATAAGATGTTTGCCCATTAGAAAACCATGATACGAAGTAAAACTTACGGAACAAGAGTGGAGAGTTCAGGCGCCATATAAATGAATTTATGCTTGTAGTTCTTCGACGTTTCAAACTCAACATATTTGATATCGCGCTGCGAAGCCACTGCGGCATCCTGTAAAGAATTGCTGAGATACAACGAAGAGCGTTTTACTACCAGCATACCCTGAGCTTCCTTGCTAAAGTGACTGGAATCACGTGGTCATTTTCAGCATGTAACATAAGTATAGGACATGTTATACTGAAAGTCAAATTCTGAAGGATGAATGTGAAGGAGAAAAATCAAGATGCTAGCATTTACTTTGGAATTCGCTTATCTGAGATCATATCAAGCCCTGTTCTTCTTAGAGGTTCCAATATACACTTACGCAGCAATTCATCAGACATCCAACGTAAAGGCTGAAAGTATTCATGAGACTAACTAATCAGTAAAGTCAAAGAGTGACTTACAATGCCCAGTACGTGCCCCATTATGGCGTCTCCAAGATTGTTGAATGGCGACTCAAGGACAAGACCTTCAGGAGGATTACCGTCCACACAGAGATTTTTCACTAGGTGAACGGCAACGCTGAATTTATACATGACTGAGAAGAATAGCGATCGAAGGCTGAGACCCTACCCAGTTCCCATGGAGTGGCCCCATATTATGACCGTATTATTACCGCTGTGTTGTCTTACATACTCGTATATGAGAAGACTATCATTGACTAATCCTTTCTCCGATGGATCGCCGTCTGAGTCGCCATATCCTTAACGTGATTTCATTGACGACAGCGAAAAGATCATGAATCAAGAAGATATCACAGTAAAAAAAATCAAATTGTGAAAAAAAAATCACACCTCGATAATCGAATGCTACCACATGGTAGTCAAGTTTGTTTAAAACATTGTATAACTCAACTCGATGTCCGATAGTCCTGAAGAATAGGATGCCTTTACTAACTACTGAAGGAGACATTCTTTACCTATCAAAAGAATTTCCATGCAGATATACTATAACAGGATGTTTCTCATCAGATAGGGATTCTTCGATGTCTTCATCTTGTGGATGGATTCCTTTCTCACGATATTTGTAAGATAATGATTTTGGCAGCATATGCCTAAAGCGACAAAGTAAACTCCAGGCAATAAGATGCCAAGAGATAGTATAAGAAAGCCTTCAAAATCTGTTCAAGAACCGTACCATACACCCACGTTGCCTTCGTCGCCTCTGAGATAAAAAGCTCTTCCGAGAGAGTTGACATTATTAGCGGAAACATCAGAATAGTCGGTCATGGGTATTCTTCCTGAAAATAGAAGCATATCGCTAGGGGACACTGACCAGATAAGTAAGAGAAGTCGCATATAAGACGAATGTTTTGACATTTAACTACACTCAATTGCTACAGACGACTTAAAAATTCGTAAATAGAAAATTTATAAAATCTCAAGCGTTGAAGGACTATCAAGAACTTTAAGTTGTATTTCTAACTTATTCACAGACTTAAGGTCTGCAACGAATCCAAGCAGTAAAGACAAAAGTGTATTATCTCCGTCAACTTACTTATTGTCCTTTTATAAGTTCGCGATTCGATACAATGTAGAGCACATTTCATCAAGTAAAATCTGCTAATTTCCAGTTTACAAGCATCGCCTTTAGAGGCAGCGTCCAGGCAAGTCTGGATACACGGGGATCTCACGTGGATAGTAATTTTGGGGCCCTAACTAAGCCACTGCCCAACCGGCAGCTCAGGTAGTGCTCCAACGGCTGAAATATTCCCCTCGAAACTGGACCCTGGGATCGTTTTTCGCATGGATTCATGACGCAAAGCGTGGGTCCTCGCCCAAAACTGCAATTAATCCATGAGAACACAGTCGTGGGGTGCACTTTGGAGGCGCATATCTCAGCCGTTAGTGATTCACCTGCGCTGCCGCTTGGGCAGTGCCTTAGTTAGGGCCCTAAAAGTACTTTCCACGTAAAATCCTCATAGGTTCAGATCTTCCTGGACGTTGCCTTTGAAGCTTTTATCTATACTTTAGTGTTTGGAGATGTACATATAATTTCAAATAAACACGCTTGATATGGGAAAAGTTGAAACAAAGATTTTAAGAAAAAAAATCGAAAAGTACAAAAGTACTATGAATGAAACTTACTGAAATTTAGGAAAAATAACTTGGTTACGATTCCAGGAAATAGAATGACCATCAATGGCAGCACAACGAAGAAGCATATCAGTAGCACGAATAAGAGTTCACAAGTACATATTAAAAAGCTGAAAGAAGTACACATCAAAAAAATCATAACATTTGTCTTGCACACAAATATCCCAATCTTAGTAACTGAACTTTTGGATAGTATGCTGCCATCAAATTCTTGATCAGTTCTCTTTTCTATAATTACTGTAGACATGTAGCGAAAGGTTCAGGACCACAAGGTGCTCAAAACTTTGTCCAGGAAGGGGTGGAGGGGGTTTCCACGATGTTGATTACGATCAAGATATTGGTATGTATAGATTGCATGCAAGAAATTCAGTGTTTGAGAGACCACAAACTGATGTACCGCTGAATGCAAGTGTCTTCCATGAATTTGCGAACATTGCAGAGGGTATGGAGGGGCAATGGTTGTTGGTATTTATCTTCACATTTTACTACGTCTTAGAATCAACTTGACTGTTCAGCAAGGTCTGTCTACTGATAAAGTGCATACGTTGTTATTAGTGCCTTGCAATAATTGGAACCTAAGAGACAAAAGCACAAGGATTTAACAATCATTGATTCAATAGTGAAAGAGCCGCAAGGATGATCAAAAGGATAATATGGAAAAAAGTGCGGAAATACTAAAAAGGCTGACGCTGGGTTTACAAAGCTAAAAGCAGGGTTAGAAGGAACTGACAGATGCTCTTCCCACCATGGTTTGTACGCAATTCAACTTACTGTTGATAAAAACCACGACTCGAAAAAAGACCACAAACTCACCTCAGAACTGTCATTTATCAGTATTAGTTGGCACGCTAGACGCCGGCCAGCGCAATAATCAGTAAATCTCAATGAGTGACAGAGAGACTTTGAACGAACTAGACTGCACTAAATGAGAAACACTCTTCAATCAATATGACGAGTCTGAGTAAATAATAGGGCAGATGTGATCACATTGCAAGTCTTCAGAGATGTCATTAAAACAGGGGTTAAGCAGAATTAAAGTTATGAAAGTGCAAAATACTTTGCTTTGAAAAGACGATTATAAGCATGTTTAGATGAACGTGATAACAAACGCATCAACATTTGAGCATGAACTTTTGAAATCAGCAAAGCACTTGGGTCATGAGTAAACTCGATTGAACAAAACCACGTGGTGATCAAAATGATAAATGGGAGATGATAAACCTACTCGGCCACATTTTGCAGATATTCTCACTGTAGGTGTCCGCGGATTTGTGTGAATGCGGATATTGCTTGAAGTTACGGCATGCTCTATGGCCATTCAAAAATTACTCGGACCGTTTGGATTACCACCGGAAGTCACTGGGCAAAACCTTATTTGATTATTCTATTCAGAAATTTCTGTGAAGAATTCGATAATAATACAATTGCGGGAGTGGGGATGACTTCATGGGCATTTTGTGATGTTTGCTAAAAAAGTTAATTAGAAATCAATAAGGGGGCATTTTCATCTCTAAAACATAGAAAGTGAGTAGAAGAAGGGAAGTCTCAAGGTTTCCAGACGGGAAATGTCTTTGAACCCATGACGAACAGAATCCGAACGTGCGCTGAAGCAGAAGGCAAGGAAGACATTAAAGGAATGACGTGGAACTTTTGCAATAACGTTCCCAGTTGCACAGAGGAAACCCAAATGTACGGCTGCATTTCGTTTGCTTGGGTTTGTAAAATCAAGAAAGCCATTGGACGTTGAAGACAATGCCTGATCTTGCAGATATGGCTGCTGAAGCGAGTCTGCTGTAAGCTCAGACTGGTTTTCGTCTAAATACGGCTCAAAAAGACACTGCCATTAATGGATGATCTGTTGCAAAAGATCCTGGAGATAAGCTCTTCGAGTGGAATACGTTCGAAGGAGTGGAATTGTTGCATCTGGCAAGCGCAGTTGAAAGGAGATTGCATTGCATCGTGAGGGCTAAAAAGATTCTAGGCTTTGAAAATTTTTTAGCCATTTTACTATGGAAGAAGTTCAAGTAGGTTTTCTGCAAATTTGAGATATGAGAAAATTCATGAGGTTTACGAGAACTACGGTGATTGGCCGGAACTCATCTGATGTGGGTATGCGAAAACAGCTGCATACAGATTTTACACTACGGTGGTACAACAACCGCATACCTCAACATTCACCTAGTTACGGTACCGAACATAATACAAAAATATTCACTCTGGCAAGCTGAATACATCTGCTGAGATCATCTATTAGATGTGGAATCCATTTATCGTTCAACCCTCCCTCCCCCCCCCCCCCCAAAAAAAAAGAGATCATGCTTGAAACTATAATTCTGAGTCAAGCGAAGTAACATTCCGTGGTCATTTGTTAGTACTAATTCTAGGTACTTGCTCTAAAAAATGACGTTGGAGAACAAACGGAAAGCAAAAAAAATTTAGAAAATTTCAGAGTCAGAAATTACTTTTACATGACTCTCTAACCCCATGAGATTTGGTTGTTGAACACGATTGGCACACAAGACAGGCTGAGTGAGCGGGTGAAAGGGGAGGGGCAATAAGTTGCGCGAAATTTTTGAAAAGCCTAGGTCTATGAAAATGATCACGCCACTGGCTTTCATTTGTAGTTATTGGAATGATCTTGAAATTCTTCCGAAATTTAAGCCTTTCAAAAAACAAAACTTCGCCCCACGTAAAAATTTTTCGGACTGCCACTGGTGCACAGCAGTGACGGAACGAGGGGCCCCCCTCGAGAATGGTCGCGAGATTTTGAAAGTTTACTTACACATGTTATAAAAATATGCAAGCGAGTTGTTCACACTTTTGAACAATTGAAATAATTCTTTAAAGTTATTAGATTATTAGCCCTGTAAAAAATTTTTTTTTGCGGGCGTGGCTGCTATTATGCCCCCCTTTTTTTTGCAAAATTGGGTCCGCAGAAGTTTCGGGAAGCATCTAAAAAAGTTTTTAGGAATACGTGACGCCAAGCACCTTTATTCGGAAAATTTCCCCCCCCCTCCCTCCCCGAACGGGAATCCTGGGACCGCTACTGGTGCATACCTGTAATATGAAAAAACTAGGTTTGGAATAAGTGCGAAATTTTGCAAAATCTTCTATTTGCACATTCAAAGCCAGTTTTTCTCCGGCATGCAAAAGGAAGAGGAAAAGAACAAGGGGTTCTTATTAATGGGCATGGGCAATTACCGGAGCATTTGTTTGTAAGTCGAATACATGAATCTTGAGTAATGTGAACATCCATCAGAGACGCATTCTTATAATATAATAGCACCACAATGCTCTTATGAGTCATTCCATACACAAGCCGCTCTAGTTAATAATGTATTTCTTACAAGGGAAGGATAACTGGTGGCCGTGGCCTTTTGGCATTATTATACATCAAGATGCTTGCCTTGAAACGCTGATCTCGAAACTATCTTCATTAGCTGCAGAATGCTTTTCTGAGAAGAATTGACGCTTGTAAGAGCGCTAACGCAAGAATTTTTGCACCGACCGAGACCATCCCTTGTGCAATATCGACAGCGCTAACCACTAGACCATTCAAGACCTTTAGCACCTATCGAAATTACTTGTTTTCTCGTGAGAATACGTCAGTTGAGGGGAAATATGTCAGATGAGGATTTTTCCAAAATAACGTTCAGCAGATAACGGATACGGTTTTGAGGTCAGCGTTTCAGGGCCAATGTCACGACATATGTCACATATCGAAAGGCCACGGCCACCAAGTATTCTCTACCCTTAAAGGATGAAAGTATGAAGAAATTGAGCATTAACAGAAAGGTCGAGATTTCTATGAGACAGTAGCATATTTTCATCTCAAAAGTGCTGAGTCAAGTATCTTGTCAGGAAAAAAAGGAAATCTACCATGATACATCCCCAGAATGTGGAATAAATATCACTAGCAGCAATACAATGCGACAAAATGCTTAATTCACACAATGACGGCAACGTATTCGAGAACGTCTCTGAGGTGATAATAAGTTCTCACTAGCGCTTATCAAAGCGTGACTTGAGCCTGTCTAATCATCACATGGTCAGAGGAAAGGACCGCATTTCGAGGTTTAGAACAGCGTTGAACTTTCTTTCACAAAAAAACCAAATTACACAAGCTACAATCGCCATACTAAGTCCTTTATCGGATGAGAGGAACCGAGAAACGTACGGCCTGAATTTAGCTTCAAAGGTTCGCCCACTTCCGAAATTATACATATCACTGGCAAGAATTGAACAACTATTAGGTTGCCCCATAATTTCTACGGTACGTTCAGTTGGTATCTCTCCAAAACTAAGGCATCTAAAAGGGTGCAAATTTGTGGGAGTATTCTTAAGTGATTGAGCTACATAAGCACATATTTGCGAGGAGCATAGACCAGCAAAGTTTGAAAATTGAGCGCATTATTTTTTTTCAATTTCTAGCCATCAGAAATGCAGCAATCTCCCCGTGAGATGTATATAAACATCTGATGGGGAGATTATATACATGAGCAAGTGGCAAGTTTGCGAATGTTTCTGAACTGATATACTATTATTTTTGTTTTTTCGGGATTTTGGATTTTTTTTCCATTTTGTCTTAAACCTCGATGCGGATCAAGCCTGGAACGAAATCTTGAAAGCCACATTGTAGAGCTTGCTTTATTCTTTCGAAAAGTGCCCCGCATGTCATTAAAAACCTAAGAAGAGCAGACTTATGCTGGTGAAAATTCGGATATGAAAACACATGGGATAACCTAACAGCTGTTAGATAAATAAACAGAAGTCTAAACTAGCACAGATCTTGAACCTTTCGCGCTGCGAGCAGGTTACATAAGAGTGGACAAATCAACTACAATGTGTTTTCATCTCAAAGGTGAGAGAAATTGATAGTGATTCATCAGTGATTCATCAGCGACAAGCGAGATACCATAGCGAAAGCGGTTCAGTACGAACACCATCAGCAAATGCACAAGATGCCCATTCGCTCGAAAATATTGGATGGGGACAGCGGCCCATAAAAAGGCAAATTATGCTTGACAAACATGAAAAGAAGCGATAAGTTTGCAGTCTGCAGAAGAATGGGTAAGGCAAGAAAAGGGTTCGTGATGTGAATAAAACAATGATATCAATGTCATGAATAGATTTTGAAATTACCTAGCACAAAGTGTCCTGAACTTTCAAAAACTCAAAAAGGCTATGATAGCTAATGCCATGATGTGCAGTCTTTAATTCTTCAGGGGAAATGAAGGATGGAAAACATGGCAAAAAATTTGATTTGAATGAAGCAAGGCTTCAGTTGATCTTCCTAGATTTTTTTTTGAAATAATAACATACTTTTTTGAGCTGGAAATCTGGCGTTAACCAAGCCCACCATGCACTACAAAAGTTTTTTGAGATGCTTCTCAACCTTTTGGTGAACTCATAATCCCATAATTTTCGACTGCAGCCACGCCCGCGAGACACTTGCTCACGAAGCTAATTAGAATTTTTTATTAAAAAAAGCAAAAAATCGCTCTAATAATTTATGAGAGATGCAGACACTTGTCATTAATCATGTTGCTAACTCCCAAAAATTTCCGAGACCCATTCTCGGAGGAGATGCCTCCGCGAGCAAAGTCCAAAAGTGGCTACTAAAATATTAGAAATGTAAGGTCCCGACAGTTTCTTTTTTTTCAGCGAATCAAAAGCCGTGGCTTATTAGATTACGAATCTCAGTGGGCAAAGAAGCAATCGCATAAAGCATTATATGGTTCTTCGCTCTAGTCGTGGTGATAGAACTCATTAGCCTCCTCTCTCCCATACCCTTCAAAAGCCGGCTCTGAATTTCACACAATTCCATGAAGCTAGACATGATTAAATGGTCATAAGACGACAACCATCCAGTTCATCGTCATAATTTCTGATGTTCTAAACTGAATGCCGGGAAAATGACTGAGTCAACGAAACAAGCCAGGCCATTGAGGGCCCAACAAAGCGATAACCATCAAGTCAGCAATAAAGCATAGATTCACGATGACAAAGACTAACACATTCTCAACAGTTGATACGTAGAGGTTCAATAATCAAAAGCACACGGTTGGCACTTTCTTGAGTTCACTTTCCTTCCCAGATGTGTGCTGCTTTGTCCATGTTCATGGTGCTGCGGGACACGGAGCATGTGCCCGCTATTGATGAGCATGTAGTCTGTTTGATCAATCAATCGTTAACTTAGTTCCAATATATTGCTTAGCCACAAGGTTTGTATGTAATAATTA